TGTAATGCGGGCCAAAATTTCGAAGATCACCGGCCGTTAGCCAATCAAAATCGAGGATCATCCGCGCATTTTTTGTGAGGCACCTAGGTTTAATAAAGTCCTCCCAACAGGAATTTTGTAACACAAGCTGTGTAAAATGAAAATTTTAATTGAAATAACATATGTTATTGTAAAGAATTCAAACACTATAATATTTTGTTTGTCTCAGTTACCATATATTCATAATATTCATTTCAATCCCCCAAACTTGATGTAGAACAAATGTTGTATAAAAAAATATTACCACAAGCAGATGCGTTAATTTAAACTAACCTGGCATCATATGTAGAAGCTACCCGAATAAACCGTGAAAGATGCACTAATCAGATTTCAAAACTGCCTATTTTACCTATGAATCTACTTTCTACGTACTAATATAAAATTCTATGCAAATTTCTGTCATAATATAAGTTCTTATTTCAGTCATAAGCTTTATTTAAAAACATGCACATATTCGATTGTTTTGATTAGTATAGATCAGCTATTGGTGCATTTTTCACGGTCCTACTGGGACATCTGTGTAGTCAGACAAAGACATAAGGGTAGACGCATTGTCAAGGCCCAAAAAATTTTCGGGTATACATTAATTGATTAATACATTAATTTGATAATTAATATTTAAATCTGGTGATCAAGTAATGTCCGAATTTTAGCTTAATTTCATAAATTCACCGTGATAATACTACTACTATACTATCTTCAAAGGCTTTATATTTTATAGATATATTATAATTTTATACATTTTTATATGAATTTATGTGATAATTTTAAACAACAGATTATTAGACTTATATTATTTAACTTGTTATTATTAACCTGTCGTTTAACAACGGGTCATACATCTAGTTCAAAATAAGATATTCAAATCCATGAATATCTAAGGCCACGCAAAGTTGATTTTTCGGTTTGCAGACCAATTTTTCAAAAATTTTTTTAAAGTTCTAATTATTTCAATTATTCCATATTATCTATTTAATTTTTTTTTCATAAATTTATCCGGTGCACCCTTAGATATGAACATGAATATATTCTATTAAATTACAGTAGATTTTTTTTTTTTTAAAAAAAATCTGACCCACAAAACAAAAAATTAACTTTGTATAGCCTAATATCTAGTTCGTTTTAGATTGTAAGTAAAAAGGAATATCTATTAATCTAAGTATTTAAAATTAGTTACATAAGTTCAATATTTACTATTTAATTTCATTTATTGAGTATAAGGGGCTTTTATTAATCTAGTTATTCAAAATATGTTATTCAAGTTCCGAATATTTATATTTATTTAATCCGAAATTTGATGTTGAATCATTAATTTGAAACTTCGATGTCAAGATTCATTCTCTTCTAATGAATTATAAATGCTTGATAACATATGCTATATTTGAATTAAAATATGTTTTTTTTTTGACTAAGCAATAAGGAAAATTGGCAAAAAAATTTAACGAGTTAAAATATAACCGGAAACAATAAAGAAGTATGAAGATGAATATTCAGTATTAAATAGTATTTGGTAATGACGTGGTTATTTTGCTAAACGTATAGCTATACATGCACATAATAATTAAGAGTAAAATAATGTGCTATTTTGTTTCCCGAGAAAATTCTCGGTTAAGACTCATGTAATCTTCTTGTTGAAAAACAGATTCATTATTAGTGCTGCTTATTAAATCGAGATTATTGCCTTTAAGGTTTAAAATAATGTCTTCATGTTCTCTGTGTATCTTTTCAGATAATTTTTCGAAACCTTCATTGAAGTTTGTTAAATTATTGAAAGAAACTTCAAGTTTATGACCAATTTTAGGGCATTTTATGATTTTTAATTTAGGGCGAAAAAGCCTGTTTTTGAACCTGCAACATAAAATCTGCACAATGATGATTTTAAACCCTTTCATTTCATCTGTAGTATACCAATAACCAAAATGAGGGCGTGTATTCGGCCATTCTCTATCAGCATCATTCTCTTTTAGATCATAAGTGTTGAAATTATAAGCCCATTTTACCCCTTTGCTTGGGCAGCCATTCATTTTCATTCTCCATTTACTTGTCGTTGCTCTCGTGCTATGACTATTTATACCAGCATAGTTAGCTGTAATGCCCATATTATTTGGTGCTGTGAAACTTATTTGACCACCTAAACTTGTCTCACGACTTGCCACAAGTTCTATTTCTTGATCATGATTTCGTGGGCTATATTCTTTTGCTACATCAATAACATTGATTGCACCTGCATCATAACAAATTGGAGAGACCTCAATTAAAATTGAATCAGGATAATAGCCTACAAAGCCCGGAAGTGATTTACAAATTTCATTAAGCATCTGCCCCACTTCACAAAGGGAGAAATCAATTCCAAATTCTAGAAAATTTCTAGATAAACGTGGTTCATTACTAATATTTGCATTGATTTTAATATTTATGGTAAAACTTTGAAAATCGTCATCGACTTTAACATTTGCTACAGACTTAACTTGGATAAATGGGTTGCCTATGTCACTGCCTTTATTGTTTTCATCTCCATCACCACCTCCTTTATCATTTTTTCTATTAATTTTATCCCAATTTCGATTTTCATCCTTTCCATTACTTTTATCCCGATTTTGATTTTCATCCCTTCCATTACTTTTATCACTATTTTCATTTGATTTTTCTTCTTTTTTATTCTCATTACTTTTGTTCTCACCATTATTTTTACTTTCTTCATCTCTATTTTTGTTTCTATCATTTTTTCTCTCCTCAGCATTTCCATTTCCTTGACTACTTTCATTTCTATTCAGGTCTATTTCATCTTTTAATGATTCACATTGTTTTTCCACCACATAATTAATTATTTCAAATTCGTTATCAAATAAAACTGAGAGTTGTTCTATTTGTACAATTTTGAGAGGCTCCGCGACCCAGCAGGCAATACATGGTACAGAGTAACCTTGCTGAAAGTCAGGTCCCAGAGCATATACTGGGTGCGAATCTAGTACTTTATCAATTTCAGCTTTTTGTTTAATGAGCAATGAAAATAATCGTTTAGTGGCAGCTGTTTCTTGTATAATTTCTGCACGAATTGACACAAAATCCGAGTTTTTATCATTCCAGACCTTTGAATTATCATTATTAATAGTAATATCAGGTTCGGTCTCGGTCTTGTTATGCATCTCTATATCATTCTTAAGAGGAACTAAAATACAAAAAGAAAGGCACACTTTATATATAAAGTATTCTTATATTTAATCTATTTAAAAACTTTATAATGCAATATTGAATTAAAATAAACTCACCACCAAAGTATGTTGTATTTGATTTATTTCCTTTTTCGGCAGATTCATAGAGGAATTGGACCGTACTGTCATCTATATCTTTCCAAGACAATTTTGTTAGAATAACTTGTGCTAAACGATTCCCATTTTCAGCATATTTCGTATATAATTTCGATGATTCCTGTCGGTTTTTTTGAGTGCCAATTCCTTCACGATAGCAATGTGCAAGATTACATTGTCCCAAATGGTTTCCACCTTCGGCAGATCGTTTAAACCATTTAAATGCCTCTTGCACATCTATATTTGTGCCAATTCCATCTTTGTAGCATTTTCCAAGATTAGTTTGATCCCAATAATTTTCACTTTCAGCGAATTCTGAGTACAAAGAAAATTTCGAAGGATCCTGAGAAAATTGATTAAAAATCGTCATTATGATTTCTTTTAAAAATTTTTAAACCAACTATATTAAAATATGACAGAGTAATGAATACTTACTCCTTTTTCTGTCATTAGATTCATAAATGAAAGAGTAAGTATTAATATAAATTTTTAAGTATAAATCAGAATAATTGATATACATACTGATAGAAATTTGTTCATTCTCCCATATCACTACTCGATTGCGACCATATTCTTTTGCCGTTTTACAAGCTTCTACAGCATGATTTAATAAGTCTTTACAACTATTTACCGAGGAGTTCATTCCAGAAACTCCAATGCTAAGCGTAATTGACGGTAGGTTTTCCTCATTAAAAATAAATGGATAAGTTTCAACAGAAGATCGAATTTCTTCAGCAATTTCATGGGCTAAATCTAAATTTATATCAATGAGAAAAATAATAAACTTTCCTCCACATTTATCAAACTCATCTTTATCAGAAATATGGTTATTTTTGATTAAATTAGATAATTCTTCTAAAACGTGATCACCAGTCTCACAACTATATTGTTTATTGATTTTTTGAAAGTGGTCCAAATCACAAAACAGTGAACACCAATTTTTGGTTTTTTTAAATTTATTTATAAAGATCTACAAGTATTTAGTATTATAAATCTGATCAAAATCCGGAATATGGGTGCAGAAATATTCATTTATAGTTTAACAACAACATACCTCTCTGTTAAGTATATTGTAATATTTATCATCGGTTTTCAAATGAGTACCTTTGTTATCACTTAATTCGTCTGAAATATCCGATAGGCCTTGAATGTCTTGAAAGTTTTCATCATTGAACTCTTCCAAATCCCCTTCTTTAATTTCAGATACAAATTCGTTCGTATTTTTGGAGGATAATCTGTACATAAACGATATATTTAAGTACACACGGTGTAAGAAATCTAAAACTTTATACCAAACAGTAGTGATTCTGTCCATTATCCGTTTATCAATTTTTCCATCGAATATACAGATCTGAATTTATTCAGATATCCGTTTTATATCCGTTTACTATTGATATCCGGATAATTATCCGGCGTGACAAATAATGTAGATCAATTTTTAAAATATTATTTATAAATCATGTGATACGTAATTCTCAATTGTAAAAAAATTTGCATCACATGGGAACGGAATACAGAATATATTGATTAATTAATCTTTCAATCGGCCTAAATTAATAAAATGGAATATTGATTTAATATTGAATAAAGATACTACAGTACAGTTTCTTTGATAATAAAGTGTGAATTTACATTAAATGAGTTACATACGTACGTCAAAAAATGTCGCAATCACGTGTATTAAATTTTTATATCTTAAAAACATGGTGAACATTTGAATATTCGGTTAAATTTAAACGATGCTCAAACCTCATTGCTTACAATCTCTAAATAAAAAAACTCGATTTAGAAAAGTAGATGAAATAATTATTTGACTAATATTATCAGTTATAGTCTTTTTTTTTTTTTATACATGTAGGAATAAAAAATTCGCAATGGAATATGAATAATTCTTTATAAATAATTGATAGAAATTTCCTTTTTTAGAGTTGTAAGAAAAATTTTGCAATCAATGCTCCTGCATAAAAATGATTCAATATTCGGTTACACCTTATAGTTACAACACATCTTACGAAAAAAACCAAACTTTATTTTTTAAATAAAATCTTAGAAATTCATTTAAGCCAATACACACTTATTAGGAAAGATTTATAGAGCAATTAAAAAAGCCTTTTTATTTTTAATCGATTTCTTCAATGTAAAAAAATCACGCCATTGAAGAAATCGATTTAATTACTCTATAACGATAAACTTTCTTAATAAGTGTGTATTGGCTTAATTTCTAATACAGGTTTTGTCGACCAAATTCGTATAATAACCAATCAAATTCGTTGAAATATCAATCAAATTCGTAAAAATCAAATTAGTATATTTTGATCGATATTCGATAACTCTCGATGTAGTGATCCAATCATTGCGCAGAAAATTAAACACTATTTCCGCATTTTACTTGTCCTTAAGCTCCTTAAATCTTAATAATAGTACCCTCAAAATAAAAAAAAATGAATGTTGTGTCTAACCGATAACCGAAAAGCCGGTAATCAACCAATAATTAAAGTATTCAATATCTGCTATCAATTGTTTTACTCCGACTAGTTATTGTACTCTTTAATGCCTGCCTAAAGAATCCGTTCATATGCAATTTGAGTAGAACAAAGAGTAGCTTGTACGTTTGTACATGGAAAGACCTTCCATAATAAGCCATCGGTTTATCTAGATGCTTTATAAATCGAAAGATACAGTTTTTCAAGCCTATTTTTTCATCCATCACTTTAAAAGCTATTTTACAGTATAATGGGTAATTTTATTCCTTTCGATGATATTAATCTTATAAAACAAATAGATGAAGGAACATTTAGTACTATCGTGCATTCAGAATATAGAAGTAAAAGAATTTATGTTGCAGGTACGTATTTATTTAGTTGTTAATTCGTACCAGTTGCATATGCCAAAAATAATTGAATTCAAAATCAAACATTTTTAAATTCGTTTTATAAATTGTTTCTTTCTATCGTTGTAGTTAAAAAACCAAAAAAAGAAAAGCAAAAAGAAAAGAAAATAACAATTGATGAAATTTTGAAGCATGATAAAAATAAATTTAAAAATGTAATTAACATTCATGGATTAACACAAGCTCCGAATGAAATTACATGTTTAGTAATGGATTACATAGAAAATAGAAACTTACATGAGTATCTTGCAAACAATCCTCTTAATTGGAAAACAAAATTAAAGATGTCTATTGATATCGCAAATGGATTATTAGAATGTCACAGAAATGATATTATACATTTGAATATAAATTCTGAAAATATTTTAGTAGATGAAAACCGAGAATTAAAGATTGCAGGCTTTGGCTACATCACAAACCGAAATTTTAACAATATAGGTAAGATAACGAATTAAAGTTATTGTCCCTATAAAAAAAGTCAATCCGTGTTTTATATTTCATGTTTTTTTTCAAAAAATATCGAAAAATGGAAATATTCGGATAAAATTTCTTACAGGGTGTTAGTTTATAATCCCTAATTTAATTTTGTCTACACGTTAGAAACTGCACGATGGGCTGCTCCTGAACACATTAACGGAAGGCAAAATATAGACGAAAAACTCTCAGGTATATTTTAAAAGATTAATAAAACTCAAAATATTTATTATTTTAAGTAACATTTTTTTATTCACAGATATTTATAGCTGTGGATTGGTTATGTGGGAAATTGCAATGAATGGTAAAATGTATGCTTGATTTGTTTATTATGAATAATTTTTATAATGGATTTATATTCATATGCTAACAACTAACAAAAAATCTAATATACAGACCCTATGAAGACATAGAAGATTTTGATAAACTAAAAAAAGCAAAGGTTTCTGGTGACAATGAATATTTGATTAAAGAACTTGAAGATAAAGATGCACCTGGCAAATTAAGAAAGCTTATAAAAGGTTGCTGCGATTCAGATCCCGACAAGAGATTAAGTTTGGCAGAAGTTAAATTTGGACTAGAAACCTTGTACTCCGAAAAATATCGAGAAAAACAGAAGAGAAACATAAACAAAATTGTATCTGAAATTAAAAACGAAAAAAATTTGAAAGAGTACGATCATGAAAACTTTAAAGACATTGAAGACATTCAAGGCCTGTCGAATATTTCAGACGAATTAAGTGAAATCAAACGTGCTTGTTTGAAAACTAATGATAAGCACGTTGTCCTCAAAATTTTAAAACATGAAGATATATATTTAACAGAGAAGTATGTTGCTGTTTAAACTATAAATGATCATTTATTAAGATATTTAACATACAAGCGAAATATCTATTATTTTCAACTTTATAAAATATTAGATAAAAATTTTTAAAGAAATTGACTCCAATGAAAACGTGATCAAATTTTTGGGGGTTTCCAAAGGTGCTATTTATATTTGTTCTCTATCAGGCTAAATTTTTCATATTTTTTTTAACACTATTTTTAATTATCTCAGGCTTTTATAAGAATTTTTACTCTGTAGTTCTTGAGTATTGTGGTGAAAACAACTTAAGCCAAGTTTTGAAAGAAGTATCAAAAAAAGATTGGATTTGTAAGATAAATATGGCTAAAGGCCTTGCCAATGGCTTAAAATTTGTTCATGCTGAGAAAATTATACTTTGCAACTTGGTTAGTATTATTATAATCAATCCATATAGCAATTAATTATATGATTCCAGTTTAATGTATTGACTCTTTATTTAATTTTTTACATAAATATTAATTACAGAGCTCAAAAAACATAATAAGTCATAATGATAAATTAGTCATTGCAGATTTTAGCTCAGCTATGTCTCCCAACAGTAAAACAAAACCTACTATCAAAATTACTTCCGAAAATGTTGCTTATGTGGACCCGAATAGTTTTAATCATACCAATAAATTTAACGAATCTTCTGATATTTACAGCCTAGGGGTGATATTATGGGAGATATCAAGTGGTAGACCAGCTTTTTTTAATCACGAACTAGATATAGACAAGCTTAAAGAATCTCTTATACGTGGTAAAAGAGAATCACACATCAATTTTACTCCTGTAGATTTCATAGAACTTTATAGTGATGCATGGAATAAGAATAACCGTCCGCAAATTAGGGATGTTATCAGTTGTCTTGATGAAATTGATCTTGATTTTGTATATAGTGATCACGATCGTGATTATACTCCAAAAATTTCTTATGGAAAAAATTATTCTATAATAAATGAGGAAGCTTGCTTAAAAATTAATAAAGGCTCACCTAGAAATCAATACTAGTGCTTGGACCCGGATATGCGTTACCCGGGTCACCCGCGGGTGGGTCGGGTATCGGGTTACAATTTTGCCAACCCGGGTAAAGGGTGACAGGTCAACCTGCGGGTCAAACCCGTGGATCAACCCGGGTAACAGTGACAGGTTAACCTGCGGGTTAAACCCGTGGATCAACCCGGGTAATAGTGACAGGTTAAC